ATTAGGGACAAGTTAATTAAATGTTTGACCAAATAGAGCAGGCTAATTTTTAAGTTGATAATTTTGTATGGCCCGAGAATGATGTTATAAATATCCCCCCCACCAAAAAAAAGCTCCCCACCTGTTTTATATTATTCCAGAGTAATATTAGAATCTCTAAATAGGATTGTGGATTTGTATATAGAGTTATATACAAAAATTTTAATGGCTAGTTTTATTTTTATAACTTGAGGAAAAGTAATAAAATTAATATAAATTGCTACACAAAGGCTTTTGAGGGTTTTTTCTTCTTTTAAAGGGGGGGGCTCTATGTCATTTAAGAATGACAAAATCTGTATTATAGATTTTGTATTATAGAAACAGCTGGTGTGGTATTATAGAGTAAGAGGCAGCAACTAAAAAACTCAGAGCTTATAAAGCCATGAGATTTTAGGAATATTGAAAAAGAAGGTGTGCATGACCCATGGACACAGATAATGGGTAGGTGAGGGCCTGGGGTAGGGGATGGGGGATGAGGGCGGGCTGGAGGGGGTCAAAGGGGGGGGGGTGAAGGGGACATATGTAATACTTTCAACAATAAAGGATTATTTTTTTTAAAAAGAAGGTTGTTATGTTTGCTTGGAAAACAGCTGTCACAGAGGTGTGGAACTTGCTTACAAGACACAGCCAGATATATATCCCCAGGTAAAGTCTACTTCCAATTTCAGTAAATCTTCACTGTATGTCCACTATATTATGAAATATTATTAACACTGACTAATGGGGAAATGGCCCTCTATAAAGTTAGTCTAGTGGACAACAGGGAACCTTTAAGTATATGGGAGGATACCAGGGAGGGAAAAGGAGTCTCGGGTAGTAAGACTTGAGATGGAAGTGCCATCAGATCACAAATTTCTAAATATTAGCAGACTGGAATGTTTCATATATCTGATAAAGGAGACAGTATGTAAGTAGACAACATGTATCATTAATCTCCTAATGGATGACTCCTGAGATTTTATGTTCACAAACTATGGGTTCTAAGAGACATTTTTGCAAAGCTAAAAACCAATTATTTTTCTCTTGTATTTCCTAGGTTTACTGTTTTCCTTTAGATAATGTAGCTGGTAACAAAATGACTTTTACTTGGACATCTACTGGCTGTAGGCCTGGTGCTATAATTTTGTAATTTGTCTTGTAGGTAGATCCTTTGGAATTTTGCAAAAGCAAAGTACATGAAAAAAATTAAAGCTGAATTAATTTAACCGGGAATACTGAAAAAAAAAAAAATTTACATTCCCGTGTAAGACAGCTCAAGCTGCAGATGCTGAACAATGAACTTAAGACTGTCTAGCTGGGCACTGTAGTGAAACAACCCTCTGGCTGAAAATGAGTGAACAAAAATGTGAAAAACAGAATTTAAACTTTTATTATCTTTGGGAGTAATTTAATTTCTCTGTGGCTAAAAGGGAAGGTGCATTTCAGTGTTGGGAATTTTACTTGTCTTATAGTAATTTAATGATGGAAAGGAGATCTATGGGTTTCAAATTTGGAGCATGTTTTCAGTTATAATCTCTGTGGTTACGTTACTCAAAAGTATAAAAACCCTCTTCCCCAAGATCATAATTGGAAGAAGATGAAAATGATCAATCTATGTCAGGGGTGGGCAAACTTTTTGACTCGAGGGCCACAATGGGTTCTTAAACTGGACCGGAGGGCCGGAACAAAAGCATGGATGGAGTGTTTGTGTGAACTAATAAAAATTCAAAGTAAACATCATTACATAAAAGGGTACCGTCTTTTTTTTTTAGTTTTATTCATTTCAAACGGTCCGGATCCGGCCCACGGGCTGTAGTTTGCCCACGGCTGATCTATGCCCTAACCGGTTTGGCTCAGTGGATAGAGCATCAGCCTGTGGACTGAAGGGTCCCAGGTTCGATTCCAGTCAAGGGCATGTACCTTGGTTGCGGGTACATCCCCAGTTAGGGGGTGTGCAGGAGGCAGCTGATCGATGTTTCTCTCTCATCGATGTTTCTGACTCTCTATCCCTCTCCCTTCCTCTCTGTAAAAAATCAATAAAATACATTTAAAAAAAAAGAAAATGATCAATCTAATGCAGGAGTCAGCAAACTACAGCCTTGTTTTTCTACAGCCTAGAACCTAAGCGTTGTTTTATATTTTTAAAGGGCCGTTGAAAATAGAGTATTTGACAGACTGTATGTGGCTCACAAGACCTAAATATTTACTATCTGAACCTTTAGAAAACAAGTTTGCAAATCCCAGATCTAGAATATGCTGTGGCCTTACAATTAGTTTTGTTGAGGATCTGTTGTCACCCAAGTCAAAGGGTTGGAGAGGTGGGAGTGTCTACTGTTGTTGGTGCAGTCCCAGGCACCTCCTCTTTTGCACAAGGGGTAAAGAAAAGACCTCCAGAAATGGAAATATCTGTTTCATTTATGTAAGTCCATATTTGTAATATTCTTCTCATTTGCTGTAGTAAATGGAAAAAACTTTGAGAAAGCAGAATTCTGTGGAAAGCTACCTAGTTCTGCAGGACAGGTGAAGGGTACACCGTAAAGCAACTGCTAGATTCTCCATTCACAGCAAGTAAGGAATGACATCTCCGCAACAACAAGGATCTAGGAGGGCTTACCTTGTACCAGGCACTGTGCTAAAAGCAGAGCCTGTCATATAACCCTCAAAACTACCTTTCCTGCCATGTGTCATTTACCTTAATTTTACAGACAAGTGAAGAAACTTAATATAAATACCCGCAGGGTGAACTAAGTACACAAAGCATCACGTAATACAACTACACTACCATCCATCACAATGATTCGGCTCTTCTTAAGGCAGTTCACTTGGGTTTGCTTTCCAAGAAGAGCGGCAGTAACAGGACACAGGCTATTCATACCTTCACCGATAGGGCTTATTTAAAATGGTTTTGAAAATCACAAAAAGGGATAAATATGTAATATGAGCCATTTTAATCACCTGCACTTAAATATTATATACATTTGTCAGGCAGTGGGAAAATGCCCAACACCAGAGAGCCACAGCTGAACGCACTCTTATCAAGTTGTTAAACCCCATACCTAACTGTGGAAAAGCAGAGTCATCTGTGTTTATAATGGTCAACTGGGGGGGGGGGGCGGGGGGGCGTTGTTCTGAGAGAGGAGGGTCAGAGAAGCCCTCGAAGTAGGCCAGGGCCAGAGCTGGGCCAGGAATCCCGAGGTTCAGATCGGGGACCGTGGGCGTGGGGGGTGAGGGGGGGCGTGGCCGGAGGCGCCACAGCAGCCGGGCCGGACCCGCACCTCCCGCCCGCCCCCCTCCCCCATCCCTGCACCCGGACGCAGGCGCGCGAGCGGTCCTGAAAAACCCTCTTCCCAAGGCCGTCCTCCCCGCTCCTCGTCCCCAGAGTGCCAGGTGCCGCCTAGTCCGCTCCCGGCAGCAGACAGGCTCCCACTGCCCGACCCCGACCCAGCTGCGGGGGAAGGGAGGCCCGAGACCCATCCCCAGCCCCGAACACCGTCCCCGAGGGTATCCCGACCCCGGCACGCACCTTGATGGGCTTGGTATCATAGGGGCCGAGGCACCGGCCATGCATCTCCTCCATGGCCCTACAGGCCTGCGAGCTGCGTGCGAACTTGATGAAGGCGATGCCCTTTGACTCCTTGGTGTGCTTGTCCCGCACCACCCAGATATCCTGGATCTCGCCGAAGGGGGAGAAGCGCTCCCGCAGGACCGACTCGGGCGTGTACTTGCTGATCACCAGGAAGATGCGGCTGTTGGGCGGCTCGTCCAGGTTGTCCACACCCGGGCGGAAGCCTCCGCCGCTCGCACAGCTGCCTGCTTCGTCCATGGTGCCCCACCGGGCGCGGGAGCCAGGCCCGGTCGCCTTCGCCTCTCCTGGCTTCCGCCGGGCCCGCCACCGCCGCCGTCGCACACCTGGCGGTTGTGGATCCGGGCGCTCCCGCTTCCGGAAGACGTAAGAGTCTGGCGCTGTCCCGCTGTGCGGCTGCCGGCTTCTGGCGAGTGGCCTGCAGCGCCCCCTGGCGACCCGGAGGAGCCTGACCCAGTCCTGGTCTTGAATCCAGTGGAGCCCAAGTCCAAACTTCAGGTGTGCAACCCTGTACCCTGTGGCCAGAGCAGCCTAGTCTGTCGCACAGGCTTTCCCAACTCTGGCTTTACACCACCCTCAGAGGATTCTTTCCCCAAACTTGCCATCTTGGTCATCAGCTCAAAAGAGAACCATAGAATTAACATGGAAAAGCCTTAATGCTGAAAGGAACCTTTGAGCTCATCCAATTCCAGCCTCATTTATTGAGAAAATTGGGATGAGGAAACCGAGGCTCGTGGAATAGCCCATGGTAACAGAGATACAGGTAACAGAGCCCAAACCGGAACCGATGCCTCTGCTAATCTGCTCAACTCCCACAAGCACCCCTGGGCGTTTGAGAGCAGAAAGGGTAGACTACTCAACTGTGAATCTAGGAGAAATGGTAAGGTGTAGGCAACGCGCATAATAACTTATAAGGCTTCGTGTTAATGGGCCTCGAGGAGAGGTTTTCAGAAAACTAGCAAAAACCTAGAAATAAGGCCTGGATATAGCATTGGCAGTGGAATGAAGGGAAAGGAATAAACCAGAAAGTGGTCCTGGAGCCGAGCTCTTTGTTCCTTGACTGCTAAGATCTGGGTTGCTATGAACTTAGAGAAATATTGCGTGCCAACTATGTTCCAGGCTCTGGTCAAGGAGCTAGACATACAATGTGGAATAGCAAGGACATGATTCCTGCCCTCAGAGAACTTTTATTCTATTATGGAAATCTTACATGAAAATATATAATGCAAAGTAATGTCAGATTGTGTTCAATGGTTTTGCCTGAACTGTGTGAGCTTGGACAAGTTACCTCACATTTCCAACTTCAGTTTCCTCAATAGTAAAGTAGAAATAATATTACCTATTAAATGGGGTAGTTTTCCAGCTTAATTCATTCATCCATTCATCTAAAACAAATGTTTTTCATTGCCTGCAAATGTTTTTGATGTGTTAAGTACTGAGCTATACTGAAGTGATATAGTATTAAACAAAATGGTTACTCTGCTTCCCTCATGCAGTTAATAGTTTAAGCTTGTATAGTTAGGAGTATATGAGAAAATATATATGAAACTAATAGCTTAGAGATCAAATGAGATAATATATGTACAATGGCACAATGGAGATGTATTTTCTCGCTCTCTTTGACTATGGTGTTCGCTCCCCAACTCTGGATATTGTATAACTGTGTGATGACAACTAACAGTCAGGCATTCTGGGTTCTCCCCCTGAATTTAGCACAAGATTCTGACAGTTTCTCCTTGCATTTCATTCCACATTTTTAAAAAGAAGGGCTCCATTTACCCTGGAGCTTAGCAAGTCAAGCAGGTATTTTTTAAAAATTTCTTTATTCTTTATTGATTAAAGTATTACATATGTATCCTTTCCCCCCAAGTCAAGGACGTATTTTATCTTAACCTTCCACTTCTTTTTATCTTATCCAGACCAAAGAGAATAAAAACAATGTGGTAGAGTAACAATTTTACTAATGTGAGAAAGATTCTAGCACACCAGTGCCATCTGGTGGAAAATACACAATTTTTTTCAACCACTTACTGGACAAGTTCTGCTCTGTAAAACATTTGTTGGTATCCTGAAAATATAGGGCTGATATTCAGAGAAGTTACTTTTTTTCTTTCTTAAAGAAACGATTAAAGATTGCATAAAGCAAAACCAGGAACAGATATATTGGGAAATGCTAAGAAAGCAAAATTTCTTTGCCACTCAATCATGTGAAATACCGCATATTCAACGAAAATAAGAAGTGTACTTATAAATTACTAAAATACAGTAAATATTTTCTTCATTGGCATCAATTTATTTTAAATACAGCTCTACTGGCTATAATTCATATGTCATACAATTCACCCACTTAAATAGTTTTTAATATGTTCACAACCATTACCACAATCAATTTTAGAACGTTTCCATCACTCAGTAATGACAGTTGTTATGTTTCAAATAATATGAAATCATATTTGAACATGATTTACATGTAATTAATACAGATGAAATTCTGAGGTTTGAAAGAATGATTATTAATTGGTCTAATATTAGAGAAAAATGTGCTGGGTATTTGCAGGTTAAATTGTCTCAAGTCTTTTAAAACATGTAGCATATAATTCACAATTATTAGAATGATAAACACATATTTATTTTCACATGAAA